TCTTTTTGCAAGTGTTTTTCTTTTTGCAGCATTTTTCTTTTTGCAGCGTTTTTCTTTTTGCAAGTGTTTTCTGAAGTTGCAGTCCGTTTGGTCTCTCAGGGCCACCGTAAACGATAGCAGTATTAACATTTTACAATTCTACAGACAGGAAGGAGTGCAGAGAGGTGAAGACTACCAAGGAGAGAGCAGCAAAAGAGCGGTATGTTTTAATCTGGTCCAATTTACCAAAGATAGGGTTTGTTAAACAATAAGGGAGGCTTTAATTAATTTTTTTTTAAATTAATTAATAGATTATTTATTCATTCACGGGACAGGAGGAGTATATCTTTGTTTTTCTTCCTCTAAAAGTCACCACACACCGTCAGGATGTGACATCAATAGAGTAACAGCTAGATTAATATATTCACCGGTGTGTTGAAGCTGTGAGTGTTGGTGCGGAGCAGCTGAAACATAATGCTGAGTCTTAAGGAGGAATAAGAAAATTGTGGGAAAGCGTGTAAGTATGTAAGAGAAGTAAAAGATATGGAGGTCAGAAATCAGTCGGTTTATGAACAGAACGGTGGTGGAGCTGGTCAGTGTATATATTGTGTATAAACTTTTTAGAATATAGTGTGATCAGAAATACTTCAGACTGTAGAAAAGGTTTGAGGCTTTACATGACATAAGGAATTGTTACTATCCTTACCATTTCTTCTTTTCACACAGACAAGAGCCATTCCCAGTGAGATGATGCCCACGATTACACCAAAACCAGTAACAACTACAGGTAGAAGTTTAAGAGCAGAAGGTACTAGAAAAGCACAGACCACAAACAAGTGTCAGTCTTACTTCCCATTCTGGTGGAAGTAACTGAGAAAGACATTTACTGTTAAAAAGCAACAAATCTCTTATTTATTTTTCTCCATTAACACCACAGCAGTTATCAAGAAAGCACAAAAGCGTCTCCAATCCCTCAGGAGACTCAGGAAAGCAGGACTCTCCATACTTCACCTCACAACTTTCTATAGAGGCACCATTGAAAACATCCTGACGCAAAGTTTTACAGCTTGGTTTGGCAGCCGCAAGTCCTACGAGAAGCGCCAACTTAATAGGATTGTTAAGACTGCCACGAGGATTGTTGGTGCCCCCTCTCTCATCAGCATCACCTGCAGAACCACCAGGATGCTGGAAGGGTTCTTTGCACAAGCCGTGAGACTGATAAATGGACTGTGCCCCCTCCCCACCCACACAGCCATTCACACAGCTACACTGTAAGATCAACAAGCAGACTGTGTTGCCCCTATCCACACACGCACGCACACACACACACACACACACACACACACACACACACACAATACACTCCCCAGATACACACACTACCTAATTTACCCATCATCTTCTGTGAAAGGACTGCTGCTATCAACCCGAATGAATGTGACTGGAGTTTGTTATAGAACTTAGATTTTATGCTATTTATGCCTTTTTTTTACTGTTCTTTTTTAAACTCATTCTTTTTAATCTGTATTTTTTCTCTTTAAACTGTATTGCTTATTGCACTGTAGAGGCTGGTGAGAAACAGTATTTTGTTTCAGGCTGAGTAACACCATACGAAATGACAATAAACTTGTTGAGTCTTTAGTCTTATTTTACAGTCTTGAGAGCAGCAAAGTATGCTGAATGACATGTAGGAAAAGAACAAACATCACTGATATGCAAAGCAAAACCCTTCTAGTATGATGAATACACGGTTTAAGAAAATTCGCTCACCTGAAGATGTCCTTGGTGTGGTCAGAGAAGAAGTAGTCTCCACTGAAATGAATATCTCCAAATGTCAAAAAAGCACCACAGCAATTGACCTGGGCATTTCTCACTTGTAAAAATCTTACCAATCGTTGTGTTTCTCCTGATTGTGTGACTTGTAAAGTCCATAGATGGGGGAGGAGCAGAGGTCAAAGTGTTTTTTTCAGCTGCAATAAAAGAAGATTGTGTAGTGATTGTTTCACTATTTGAGTTTCTTGTGGATTCACCACAAAAGGCATTTTTCTTCCACTACTGCAATACTGCCATACAACAGCCCAGTGTCAATGTTTTACAATTAGCCCTACAACACTTGTCTTTAATACTGATTGAGTGATTATAAAAAACTCTCGACACAGCCTTTGCATCGATGCTTCCTTTAACACGCGGCTCTGTAGTGCTCCGATGTATTAAACTAAGTAAACACAACTAGAACAAGACCTGCAATACAAAAGTATTTAGAAGCAGTGTGTGAATAAAAGGTTTGACAACATTGATCCCACCCACACACTGATAACACAATAGGAACAGTGATGATGACGCTGACACAATTTAACATGGAGCCGGAGTTTGTTTATGCGCAAGTGGCGTTACCGAGACAGTGAGGTCAAGGTGAGTGAAACAAAATGTGTCTCTAACGTCAAAACAGCAGCAAAGTTCCTGTAATCACCATTAAAACCTTTACTTTAGCGTGAGTCCGTCATCAAAGCACCTGATCAACAAACTCCGACGTGAAGAAAAGCAAACTCTTCAGCTGCTCCATCCACTGCTATTTTTTTTTAAACAAAGAAAAAAATCTGCAGTAAACCTCCAAAAGTAGTATTAAAATATGCAGACGAACTGAGTCTGAGACCAGACTGGTTAAATCATACAGCTTGCTGAAGGCTGAAGGTAACAGTCTTATTGTACATGGGAGTGGTATCTGCAGCAAACATGGGCTAAACCATATTAACCTGAAGACTCTTGTAACATTTTTCGCACTGAAAGTGAAATCATATCAGATAATGTGCTAATTAAACTGCATTAATATTGAAAAACATAGCAAAAAAACTTTTTTAACAACCTAATAAAAATATAAATGGGCATTTAAACTCTGATCCACTGACCTGAGAGTTGTTAGGTTGGACACTGAATTATTATTAATATTTATTATTAACATCTAGACCATTGTATCATTTTGTGCCTTAGTTTAGATTACATATATATCTTGCTTTGTTTAATTGGACCTTTGACTATATTTTCAATTATTTATACTTTTTACAATTTAAGATAAAGCTTTCTTAAAATACATTGTATATAAATATACACACAAACACACTCACACATTCACACACACACACACACACACACACACATATATATATATATATATAATTTAAATATGAATTACAAATACGAGTTTTTGACAGATCTTATACGCAGTAAATTTTGCAATTTCTAATATGGAAGCTCACTGAATTACTAAAATAATCGGTAGCTGAAGCCCTATAATATTGTTTTGCTGTCATCTGACGTCAGTGGATAACACATAATGCACTGTAAATACATCCATCAATACTCAAAATTCTGCTTCCTGGACGGACTTAAATTAATTCAAGAAATAGGCAGTTTATTCAAGGATGGAAATATGTATCACTGCCTAAAATCTTGTAGATTACATTATTAAAGGTAAACAGAACCTTATAAACATCAGGCTTTAGCTTCCCTTTTTGGTTTTGTAGAAATAAATGCACATCCTGTAATGAGGTACAATAGAGAGCAGCACATTGTGATCACTTACTTTGTATGTTAATGAAGGATATGTTACTGTGAGGAGACTGGTATTGTCCCCCTTTATGCTGTGACATGTAAAAACATGCCACTTCCACCTCAGCCGGTGAACTCTGCTGTGCCATAGAGAGGAGCTCAGTTCCTGTCAGTGTCTGCTGACAGAAGGCGGAAGTAGATTTTCTTTTTCTCATAAAGTACAAAAAACACTGAGTCACAGAAACAGATGATGGAGTCTGACATTTCACTGTGACTGAGTCTGTTTCTGTGATCATCTGTGGATTCACTGTCAGCTCAGGTCGAGGAGCTAAAAATTTAAAGATTTCTCAAGTTAAATAAATAAATGTTCATTTATTTGAAAATAAAACCTAATAAGAGAAACTGCTTATGTATCTTATGCATATTTAAATTTTCCTCACTACAACAACCGACAAGTTGAGAGAAGTTGCTGGTTTTTTCTACAGATACTGTTGTCAGACATCCTCATATTAGTTCAATGCATTAGTATTTACTCACTTTCTATAATAGCTGTAATTTCTGACATGTTACTCAATGGAAATTTTATATAAAATAGATTTAGTCCTTAATTCAAACAAATGGCAGTTTATTTAAGAATGTAACATCAGTTACATGTAAATTAAAAACTTTATAAAAATCAGTTTTTAGTTTCATTCTTTGGTTTATAAAAGCTAAACTTTATGCACATACTGTACAGAGGTATACTATAGAGCCGCATGTTATGATCACTTACTTTGTATGCTGATGGAGGACGTGTTACTATGCAGAGACTTATGTGGTTCTCCTTTATGTTCTAATGTGTAAAAACATGTCACTTTGACCTCAGCAGGTGAACTCTGCTCTGCCATAGAGAGGAGCTCAGTTGCTGTCAGTGTCTGCTGACAGGAGATGGACGTAGATTTTCTTCCTCTCATAAAGTACAGAAAACACTGAGTCACAGAAACAGATGATGGAGTCTGACAGTTCACTGTGACTGAGTCTGTTTCTGTGATCATCATTGGATTCACTGTCAGTTCAGGCCGAGGAGCTAAAAATATAAAGATTTCTTTAGTTAAATAAGCAAATGCTTCATTTACTTAAAAATAAAATATATTAATAGAAACTGATCTGAGAGTTTTACTTTTTAAAATGATCAAGTCTGATACACAGGAACAATTTCCTCCTACAACCCTTAAGTTGAGAGCAGCTATGTTTTCTGTACTGATACTGTAGACAAACATCCTCACATTAGTGCACTTCAGCAGAATTTACTCACGTTGTATGTTGATGGGTGACATGCTGCTCTCTGGAGATTTAAGTATATAAAAGTAATAACAGGTCACTTCAGCTGTAAGAGGTGAACTTTGACGTGTCCATGACAGAAATTCAGACCCTGTCAGAGTCTGCAGACAAGGAGCTGCTTTATCAGTTTTATCTCCTGAAATGATGAAATAACACTGAGACACAGAAACAGATAATGGAGTCTGACAGTTCACTGTGACTGAGTCTGTCTCTGTGATCATCTGTGGATTCACTGTCAGTTCAGGCCGAGGATCTAAAAAATGGAAAAAATTGGTTGAATAAAATAAGCAAATGTTTAATTTATTTAAAATAAGATCTAATAATAGAAACTGTTCTGAGAGGGGTTTTTTTTTACATGGTTAAGTCTGATGCACATGAAAATGTTCCTCTTCACTCACAGCGTGATCACTTACTTTGTATGCTGATGGAATATTTGTTGCTGTGAGGAGACTGGTATTGTCCTCCTATATGCTGAGACATGTAAAGACATGTCACTTCAAACTCAGCAGGTGAACTCTGCTGTGCCATAGAGAGGAGCTCAGTTCCTGTAAGTGTCTGCTGACAGGAGATGGACGTAGATTTTCTTCTTCTCATGAAGTACAAAAAACACTCCGACACATTAACAGAAGATGGAGTCTGACAGTTCACTGTGACTGAGTCTGTTTCTGTGACCATCCGTGGATTCACTCTAAGTTTGGGACGGGGGGCTAAAAAAATGCAAACATTTCTCAAGTTAAATAAACCAAGGTTTTATTTACTTGGCAATAAAATTTAATAATAGAAACCACTCAGGGAGTACATTGCAGTAGCATTTACTCACTTTGTATTGTGATTGGTGACATGTTACTCACTGGAGATTTATATATATAAGTGTAATAACAGGTCATTTCAAGTGTAACAGGTGAACGTTGACGTGTCCATGACAGAAATTCAGACCCTGTGAGAGTCCGCAGACAAGGAGCTGTTCTGGCAGTTTTATCTCCTGAAATGATGAAATAACACTGAGACACAGGAACAGATGATGGAGTCTGACAGTTCACTGTGACTGAGTCTGTCTCTGTGATCTTCTGTGGGTTTACTGTCAGTTTAGGTGGACGAAGATCTGAAAAATTCAGGTACATGTTAGATTAATTAAGCACATTTGCATCTATAATATATATTTTATATTGTAGAATTATAATTATTACATTTTGATTTATAATTATTGCAAGCACTGAGATAATAACTAATCAACCCCATAATTACTATTGAAGCATATTATAAACTGTTCATGTACTTTTGTCACTCACTGTTTATGTTGATGGTGGATGGCTCGCTGTCAGGAGATGTATGTTTAAAAGTATCAATTTGTACAGTGTAAGAACATCTCACTTCAACCGCAGCTGGTAAACTCTTATGTGCAGTCTTCAAGAGCTCAGTCCCTGTCAGTGTCTGCACACAGGAGGAACCTTTGGACAGTTTCTGGCTTGCAATGTAGAAATCACACTGAGGCACAGAAACAGATGATGGAGTCTGACAGCTCAGTGTGACTGAGTCTGTCTCTGTGATTGCAGGTGGATTCACCATTAGTTCAGGCGGAAGACTGGCTGAAATTACATATAGACAGATTTTATTTTAAATAGTTTACATACGTATAAAAAGTTTTTAAGATGAGCAAAGCTGAGTTACTGTAGAAAAGCTCCAGAAAAATGGTAAATATCCCATACAGAGATAAAAAAAACATGAAACTGAGACTAACCTTGTGCTTTAATTTCATGAAAAGAATCTGAAGAAGGAAAAACAAAATAGATTAAACAATAAAAAAAATTCAAAGTGTAAATTAGTTTTAGAAGTCTTATGTAAGAAAGAGAAACATGTTAATAACAACACCTGACAGCCATTATAAGTAAGCACATCTTAAGGAATAGATGGCATGAACAACAAATGAACCTGGTAAGAAGTTTAACTTACACATGAGAACGACTAGCAGCAGGAGATCAGCCATGATTAAAAGAACAATGTGAATGTGCAGAACAGACTACAGCAGTCTGACTGACTGCTCTGACTCTCACCTACATTAAATGTCATCAAGAGAACTTGCTTTCAGGAAAACCACAGCCTTCACTTTAACTGCCCACAGTGAGACACACTTCACATACTGTGAACCTGCAATGATACACTTGCAATGAACCCTCACCTGCAAAACTAGAACATGTTTAATTGACCCTTTTTGTAGGTACAGAACAGTTGACTGACTGAATGACAGGAAGACTAATACCTACATGCTTTATATCACCTATATCTTGTTATATACTGTACATGATTGTTTTTCAATGTTTTGGTGGAGGGTTGTTATCATGTTGGCCTGAATAGATTATTAATGAACTTTAAAGATGCTGTTACATATTTATTTAAACCTTCCATGGGATTTATAAACATGTCATTGTGTGCTGACTGCAGCTTTGTATTTACCATAGAAACATGAGAGAAAATGTTTCAAAACACACTCCAAATGAACATTTTTTTCTGATGTGTCAGGGTTTTTTCTCAAATAAATTGTTTGTTCTTTTCAAAAGATTTTTCACACTCACTGTAACTGATTATCTGTCTGAATGCTGTTGTCAGCACTATCAGATCTTAATCAGCAAACATCAGCTTACATGTTAGACAAAGACATGCAGTTTTCAGCCATAACTCAAGTTCTCTCATCTCTGTGAACTTTAGCACAGCTCAGGTGCTTTGATCTAATTTTGATATGTTGACAATCCACGTGGCTGTTATTTTTCTTTAGGAAAAATCACATAATGCATTAAATATGTTGCATGTTAACAGCACTACAGTAATGTGTGATGTCTTACTTTGTTCCTTAAAGTCATGTTGTCTTTGTTTCATGTTTTGAAATACTTGCCTCAGTTCTCATTTTTTAAAACTTTCACTTCATGTTCTTGTTTTTGTGCCTGTGCAGTGCGGTAGGAGAAGATTCCCTTCATGGCTTTACAGAGTCACATGTGTTCCAACAGTACAAGGATGTGGTGTATTAGTGGGTCAAAAATGGGACAATAACAAAGGGTACTAGATTTTATGTCCAGTGAGTATTCTTTGATTTTGACTGATAATTTTTTAAAATCATTTTTAGTTTACATTTGTTGTTTATTCAATCAAACTGCTTGGTGTTTAGAAAGTTTAGAAAAAGATCATGGTATGAACAATTCACAATGTTAATCATGTACCAAAGAGCCAGCTTATTGCCCTGTCTTTTCTAACCAGTTAATACAAAGGGATCTGTGAGAATTAACAGCCATTTTGAAATATACATGTTTAGGTAGAATTACAGTTTTTCTCCATTGGTTTGGCTCATTTCTTGAAACAGAAATTACATTCTCAAAATAACAT